TATAAGTCTAAAAATTGGCTGTAGGCCTCTAGTAATTCTGAAACAATGATGGATGACATTGATAGATGTGAGAACCAGTTGACTTCAGAGGTTACTGCAGACCATACCTCCTCCCAGTAGGGTGGCTTGGATGTCAGACTACAGAAGCCTTTCCCAGCTTGGTGTCTTCCATGTTGACCATGCAACAATGCTCAGCATTTAGAAGTTTAAAATGTCTTACAAAGAACAACAGTGATCCAGTTAAGTAGTTTTTAGTGACTCATAGTCTACATCCCCTCCAACTGTCCTTATTTTCAGGGATAGTCCTAATTAATTGTCATCTCATTTTTCCAACTGCTTTTAAAATGTCCTTGTTTCTCTGTCCTTCCCCACTTTCCCACTTTGTCCTCAGATTACTTCAGTTGCTGCAAACTGGGGTTAAAGTGCAAAAATAGTTTGCATTCAGTTAACTTAGCAGGGAGAGAGGGGAGGAGGGGAAGGAATCTTGCCCTTCCCAGTCAGCTCAGGCAAAGGCAAATTGCTGTAGTCTCTCCTAGCTTGCCCATTCTTCCTCATTAATACCTTTTGTCATCTTGACCACCCATGTCCCAGTTTTATTTGTGAAAAGTTGGTGAGTATAAAAGTCTCATCTTTTATCAACCTATCTGAATCTATCAGATATAAACTGATACTCTTAGAGATCTATCCACCTCTTCTCTTCCTACCCTCTTATTATCTCACTTATACTAAAAATGAAACTGGTTCTGTGTTACCTTAGCATCCTCAGACAGGTTTCCTTTAATGGAGTTCCTACAATAAAGCCTTAATTCATCTCTTTAGCCAATGATGTCATTACTAATTAATCAAAATTGTTAGTTGTTGTGTACAGTCAACTGTCCAACATTCCAGATATGTTCAAGTGTATCCCAGACAGTCTCGTAAATTAACATCCTATTTCCTGCAAAGCAGGAGTTAAAATTAAAAGAGGCTTTAAATATTCTCAGTGACATCAAAAATTCTTAAGCTGTCCTTGGAAACGAATGGAAAATACTGTGTTAGCCCCTGAGCTAAAGTTGGTTGGTTAGTGCATGGCGTTAATTCCATCCAGGATCATTCTTCAGGCTGGTACAGGCCACACTAATGAGATCAGATTATACAAAGTCCCCTTATCAGAAAGTGGAAAAAGAAAGTTCTTAGAAAACATTGTAAAAGAATGTGTGGGAAAGAAAAGGATTTATTATGTCTCTGCAAATTGCCAAAAGGTAGATAAGGCACAAAGGAAATTGATTCACACAAACAAACACAAACCACATTCTAGCCTTTATTATGTCTTTATTATGCCTATAAAATAATTATTTAAAATATTTATTATTATAAAATAGAATATTGCAAATACCAATAACAAAAAGTTTTTTTAATTCTTTAGAATTAGAAAATAGATTGAACAGGAACAATGGCTTCCTGACTCACTACACTCATTTCAATATTATCTGACCCCATCCTCGGTGTGTGTGTGTGTGTGTGTGTGTGTGTTATGATTAGTGGTTCTGATTGGTTTTGATATCAAGACCTATTTTGGGTCTCTGTCACGGCCCTGTGCTGAAAGCCATGGGCTCAAGGCTGAGCCTCACACAGGACGTTTTCACACAGGCGGCTCTAAAGCCGCCCGGAAGCCCCCTGGAAGCAATCAAGAGCCATTCCGGCGGCGAAAACAGCAGCCGCCGGAATGGCTCCTGATTGCCTCCGGCAGCAGCCCCTGTAATTCCTTTTTAAAAAAGGAATTACAAAAACGGGGCTAAAGCCGGCTAGCGGCAGGGATGGCGCAGGGATTGCGCAAGATGGGGCGGGGCTTGCTGCGACGTCGAGTGAGGCAGGGATGGCGCAGGGATGGCGCAGGATGGGGCGGGGCTTGCTGCGACGTCGTGTGAACTTATCCTGCACAGAGCCGGAGTGGGGCCGGACGGAGGTAGGAATTACTCCGTTTAAAGCCCTGTGTGAAAACGTCCACAGGCACTCCAAACAGGGTTGAATCTGCATTTACAACCATTTGCAGATCAAAAAGGCCAGGCATAGGAGCTGTAAAGCAGGACATTCACACCTAGAAGATTTATGAGGGCCATCCAGGATGAGTCCAGCTGAAGGAGATAACATCAGCATCCTATCTTCCCTCTTTTGGAAATTGTCTACTTCAAAGCATCCTTTGATATACAGTAGCAACTCTTCACATCAGCCTAGTCTTAAGGATATAAATGCTTTCCCCAAAATCTCAGAAGAGGGAGTCTGGATAGAATTCATGATGCCTATGCCATTGTGACCAGCTCTATTCTTTGTCCTTTCCCTGTCATAAGGGTTGAGTCTATCTCTTCATTCATCATTGGAGCAGCCTCCTTTCAAGTAACTATCACCATTAGAATGCCTTGTGTTTCCTATCCAAGCTACTCCTGAGTTCTTTGTGTGTGTGCATGTATGTTAGGCTGTTTTTGTATGTTTCATCCTCTGTATATGTGCGCTTGCTTATTGATTCATTTTTCTCTCTTAATAAAAGTACCATTCTTTTGGACAAATGCTGTCTCTGCAGGAACTGTTCCCTCTAGCTCCCTGCATGCAATGGGTTGGATCCTATTTACTATTTCTGAGCTAATTATAAATTCCCCAAGGTCAAGTTTTTATTACAGGGGCATCCTATACACATCTATCCTCCCCACCTGCAAGTTAGTTTCTAAGGGCAAATTGGTCTTGCCACCTCATTTCCACACCCGATGGCTATGCTTTTGTCCACAAACGACCATAGTTAAAACTGGTCTTGCCATTTCATTTCCATACACAAAGGATTTTGAATTTTAATTTACATTCTTACATGCCAAGGGCATATATATGTCTGTCCCTGGCTTCCACTCCACCAAAAACATCTGAAGAAGTAGAATGAGGTCTATGAAAGCTCATGCTGCCAACTTCTTTCTTTCAGTTAGTCTCAAAGGTGTTACAAGATCTCTCTACCTACAGGGAATACATAGCCAATGAAGGGATGTCAAGAGTTGGTTAACAAGATCAAAGCGATGGGCCAAAAAGATAATTTTTCTTGCATGCCAATACTTTTACTGAAGGCCTCCCTGCTGCCCTCTTTTCCCTTACCGTCCCCTTGGGTCTTTCCATCACCTCGAGGGTGGTGGTACCATCCACTTGGGAACCACCAAACTAAACCTATGCATTCTACTAACATAAGCAAAGCCAAAGACTATGTTAGAAAGGAATGCCATAATCACAAAAAGTCAACATGGCTTTTTCAAAAACAAGTCATGCCAGACTAATTTGATTTCTTTTTTTGATAAAATTACCAGCTTGGTAGATGAAGGGAATGTGGTAGACATAGCATAGCTTGATTTCAGTAAGGCTTTTGACAAGGTTCCCCATAATATTCTTGCAAACAAGATAATAAAATGTGGGCTAGACAATAAAACTGTTAGGTGGATTAGTAAGTGGTTGACTGGCCAAACCCAAAGGGTGCTCAGCAATGGCTCCTCTTCATCCTGGAGAGAAGTGACCAGTCGGGTACACAAGGTTTTGTCCTGGGCCCAGTGCTATTCAACATCTTTATCAGTGACTTGGTTGAAGAAATA